ATTGAGGTCCGGGGCTGTGGCCTGAGCACATCAAATAAACAGAAACACTCCAGATGCACAGACCCAGCAGTGACGAACCGTGGGAGGCGGCGATACGGTTTGCTGGGAAAGGGCTGCCAAGTCAGAAAACCGTACGTCTGAACTCCAGCTCTGCCCCTGACTGATTGAACCTTTCTGCGTCTCAATCACTGCATCTGTAAACATGGGAGTAACGTCACGATAAATAAACTAAATGAGACAGTGTCTATGAAAATGCTTGGCAAGCAAACATGGGAAGAAGAAATAAGTTCAAAGACCCACTGACTGAGTCTCCTCTCTGTGACCTCAGAAAGCAAATTCAAGCCAGACTAGTTTTAAAGCACAATGTTTATGGATGGCTTCAGCCCTAATCCCCTGCAGAAGTCCTCCACCGGGAGACCTCGCTGGGAGCGAAGGGCTCTTTCAGATTATCGCTCGGTCCTTTCCCGGCTGTGGCCTGAGCGCCCTCGGTGACTTAGCAAAAGTTTCTAGAGACCTCGTTCACCCCTGTTCTGCTTGTTCTGGGCATTTTGCTCATTTAGCAGAGCTATCAGAGATGCAGATCAGAGGGAGAGAGAGAATGATTGAGAAATATCCCAAAAGCAGCTAATGTGACAGCCGTCTGCAGAAAAATATAAATATTTGGACAAACATTTCTTGGTTCTCAGTGAGGCTTACTAGCTGAGTTAGGTTTCTCCTTACATTTGACGTTGGGTATTTTCAGAGGAAACTTATTCCCTTACCCTTTTTCATGGTATGGTGGGAAGAATATATTTTTTAAGTGGAACGTATGTTTAAAGTTAGAGAAGATAAAAATCTCAAAGCCCCAACACAAACAACCAAACCACAATTCAAAAACCTTCACGGGGGGCTGAAAGCAAGCCGGCGAGCTCTGGATTAACTCTGAGCCCCGCCCGGGTGAGAAGACGGAAAGCAGGATTCCCTGTGAGTGGCTGATCACCCCAAGTACAGAGGAAAGCAAACACGTGGAATTAGCCACGTGGGACTTTCAACCACCGTCTACTGGTCAAACACAAAGGCGCCTACTGGCAGGATGGGAAAAAAAAACCTATGAAAAGATTTTTAAAAAAATCACAGAAAGCAAACAGAGCCACAGAAGAAAAGCCACATGATTAGAAGTCTTAAGGAAAATCAAAGCTTGACTCCAAATAGGTTTCTCTCCAGAGGGACATAAATACTGCAGCATCTGCCTCCAATCCGTTCCTGACTGGTCGGGATTAGCACGTCCTACAGCGACTTCTCAATGTCGATTTCACAGAAGATAAGCAATCTGCTAGTACGCAACCAAGAGACGTGATTTTAAAAATTACACCGGGGACTCACAAACATGTCTATTGTAATTTCCTAACAATAAAATAGTACATGAAGCTTATCTTCAGAAAAGGTAGGTTCACACAACTTAATTGCTTATCTCCCAATTATGGGCATTAAAACCCCACAAAATCGACTTAAGAATCCAGTGCTGCACGGAATCTGCATTTTGGTTACAATGAAACAAAGACTGACATCTGGTCACAAGATCTCAGCCTGAGCAGGAGACGGGGTGAGGATAAAATACTCACATTAGGTTTGTACACGTCTGGACAACTCCAGATTTCTGCAGAGGGAGCAAAATAAACGGGATTTGTGTCTCTGAACTTCTGCAGAACCTGTTAGAATTTCATTTTTATACCCCCTTAAGTGGCTGTCTAGTTTCATAAATGGAAACCTTATCTTTTGCAGTAAAATATTAGGTTCTCAGGGTGGATCCAGGTTTTGCAGGGTCAGCATGTATGATCTGAAGGATCCTCTCTCAGAAAGAGAATACAAAATTATGACCATACATTATGTAGAGGGCACTGCAGTGAGGGTGCCTGGGGGCAAACTACCAGCAGCTTCACAGCAAGCTCACCCCGAGGGGGAGAACCAAGCAAGTCTCTTATTTCTGCTTCATCCGTACAGTGTCCTGAAGCACTGGGCAGTTCACAGGAGTTCAATGCTTGCTGATTCCACTCACCTCAGAAGCAAAAGAAAAGACACTAAGAGATTAAATTCAAGGCCATCCAAGTGGTTCAAGATAAACCTTAACCCTTCATCCAATTATTCTTGAAATGACAGCTTGAATCAGATGTCATTTGAATTCATATTGATGTTGTTATTTAATCATTGCCATCCAGTTAATATTTTAAAAACCCCAAAATGTTTATGATAGGGAGACAAACAGAAGCCTTTTTGAGGTCATCACATGAGAGGTGGACGTGCCTGAGCCACAGACTAAACACTCGAGTTCCTGTGTGCGTGGCCACTGTCTGTGATGAACAGCTGGAACCCGCGCAGGCTCCGTCACTGATGGGGGCCACCCATGGCCTGTGACCAACGGGGTGACCCCAGGTGCAGGGCAGGTCACCCATCCCAAAAAAAGCTCGCAGGAGTTTCTAATGTGTCGGCCTGTTTCCTCATGCTGCCTGCCAACGGGCAGCATACTGCAGCCTTTTTACAAATCCGAAAGGGCAGAGAGAACATTCACAACATTCCTCAGGTTCTATGCATAGGTGAGAGGTTATGCACGCAAACAAGCTAGGAAAGAAATGACTCACTAATCCCACAGGTTTATACTCTAGGCTTAATACCTTAAGTACTGTTACGCAAAAACCTACAGAACTTCCCAAGTCCAGAGTTATCACAGCCAGATCCATGTACGGTGAAGGAGAGACGTCTTCCTGCCTCCACATACACAGAACACATGACCCAAATGATTTCACTCTGTGTGCATCCGTGAGGAAAATACCCTGAGAAAGACCCGCTGTTCTTAATCATCTTATTCACATTGAAACAGAATTTGATTATTAAAAGGCCTTTCCTCAGACTGATAGAACTTCATAAAAAGTAGTTAAATGTCTTCATAAGAAGAATATTAGCAAACAACTTTCCCAAGCAAACAATTTGTCCCAAGGGACAAATTAGGACAAATATTTCCAACATATGAGAAGCAAAAAACCAATTTTGTTAACATACCAAGAGTTATAATTAAACGATCAATAATTAGATGACGGTAATCCAAGATAAAAATAAGGGTAGTTCACAGAAAAGGCAGTTCACAGAAAACACAAGTGCCCTGTGAGGATTTTAAAGAATGCCAAGCCTCCCTCATAAGTGTAAAAAGCACACGTTTAAGAGCAGTGAGCCGTCTCTCAGGGCACAGGTCGTGGAGGAGGTGGTCCCGGCGGCGGCGCAGGCCAGGGTGCACGGGATGGGGGAAGAGGCGCTCCCCTCTGTCCATGACGGTGCGGCTGGCGCGGCTTCCGGGGGCAATGCCACGGCACCCTTCACGTTTTCAAATGCTTATATGTTTTGGCCTGTTCATCTCTCTTCTATGAAATTATCCTATAGAATTCTCAAACAGGTACTCAGAAGATATATAGTCAAAGATACTCTTTGCAGCATTGTTTAAAAATTAAAAAAAACAAATTAAAAAAACTGGAGAGACGTAACTGTCTATCCATAGAATAATCAATTCGGTAATACTAGAAAGCCACTGAAAGGAATATGGTAAATCTACCTACATGTGCTGACTTGGAAATAACAATAGTTCGTGTTTCTTGAGCTTTCAAAATGCCAGCTGCTGCTCTAATAGGCCCTTTACATATGTTAATCCCCTTGATGAATAAAAAAACTCCAAGAAACATAGGTAAGTGAAAAAATGACAGAACAGACTGTGTACTATGGTTCTACTTATATCATATTTAAGTACATAATCTATATGTAATAGATAGCCCGCATATGCTATACAAAGGTGCATATTGTATGTGTGCACATGTCCAGAAAAACTGGGGGAGAACCCAAAAGGCATGGCAGGCAGCCATCATCTAGGAGCAATAAGACTGGGAAATGGGACTTGTGGAAAAGGAAATTTTCCCCAATATGTGTTATCTGCCTAATTAGATTATGGTCTGCTTAATTTTTTTCTTTCTACTTCTGTATATTTTTTTTAAACCTAGGGAAAGTTACTTGGGGAAAGGTCGCCATCTGAGAAAACATTCCTGTTTCTTTTTATACCCTCCTAGAGTGTAACAATCTTCAACGTGATGGCATATTGCTGTCAATTCTTTTGTAAAAAGTCTAGTTAGAAATCAGTATTCGGCAACTCCAAGAAAAACATTCCATCTCATTTCCTTTCTTATACGGGAAACCCCAGAATATAAGGGTCTGGATGAGAACTCTCAGGATTCTAAAACAATCGTCTGGCTTATTGTTTAAAAGGCGAAGTTTAATTGTAAGTAGGAGAAAAGTTCAGAGGGACACAGGACTGTCGGCACGGGAACTACAATGCTCACGGCTCTACTGCACGTAACGTGTGACGTAATGACGCAGGCCCAGGACCGGGTTCACCACACACCCACCAAGCAGCCGGCAACTGGTGCTTGCTGGAAGTTGTTATCATTTTTACAGCCCCCACTCACTAGCTGCTTCCTACGGATTTAACACTGAGCTCCATACTGAACCCATATTAACGTGTTTAATTCTCACAACCACCCAATACAAGTTTTGGTTAATTATTTCCTGGAATTACCTAAAATTATAAAGACATGGATAAAACTTCAGGCTGGCAAACAGTAACTGAAATCTATAAACAACCGAGTCTTGCAACAATCGATACAAAAAATCACCAGGCAATTTCTCTGAGTCATATGTTTGACTTGTCTTAGATCAAATTCTTCTAAATTGAAATAGTCAGACGTGTGAAAATTCCAGGAGAGGGGTGGCGTGTACAGGTATCCCCAGCTCTCCTATAGATTTTTGATGAGCCATCTTCATCAGGATAGACCATACGGTGGCTCCTGAGTGGTCCCCGTGCCCTTCCCCTCGCCCCTCCCTCACACATGTCTCTCAGCACGCCCGGTGCAGGTAATTCAGGACCTCGCCCCTCACTCTGCAAACAGCCCTACATTTCTGTCACCTCTCACCCGCCTTTTGGTCCTTACCTGTCCAGCAGTAGTCCCAACACTTCTTTAGTGGAGGCAAAGCCTCTGTACGTCGACAGGAAGATGCTGATGTAGGTGAAGTCATTGTCCCCGAAAGCTGTCAGCAGGTTCTCCACAAGCTTCTGCAAGGTGCCAGCTTTTATGGTCCTGATCTTGCAGGTCTCGTACTGACTGACCGTGTGTCCTGGAGGGAGCTGGTCCCCTTCAACCTGCACAATAAATGCGTGATTATGACCAGGAGAAAGGGCTCGCTAAAATGCAACTGAAAGCACTGAATCCGTTGAACCAGAGCCTGCCACGTCCTCCCTTGCTCTTAGTTAATTTCCTTACAAGTCACGTAAGGTCGTCCCCCACCTGTGAGTGTAGTACAGTGGAGTGGTTGGAGGTGGGGGGCTGTGTTCCCTTCCTGTCTCGAGGTAGAGGCCTTACTTCCTTCGAGGATACATTTGCTTCTTCTATTCACTATCCCATCAAGAACTAGGTTGCCGGCACATTTTATCAAGGGTGTTTCCTGTGACCCCAGGATGGAGTTCAGCAAATGTTATCCATCATTTCCTTTGTATTGTTCCATGGTAAGTTTTCAAACTCATCCTTTTATCATCATCATCATCATCATTATTATTATTATTACTGTTTGCATCCAATACTATTTTGTATTAGTTTCAGGTGTGCAAATTGTTCCCTCAGATAACCCAAGTGCCCGTCTGGCACCATACACAGTTATTACAATATTGTTAACTATATTCTGGATGCTTTACCTTAAACTCCCACACCCGTTCTGTAACTACCAATTGGTGCTTCTTAAGCCTGTCATCTTATTTCACCCAGCCTCAAACATGCCTCCTCTCTGGCCTCTGTCAGTTCGTTCTCTGCATCTGTCAGTCTGTTCACACTCGTTCTTAAAGACAGCTCCTAGCGTGGTGTGCTGGAGCTGACCCACGCTAGATTTGGACAGCCGATCGCTGAATTTTCAGGATTTGTGCGAGCCATCCGACATCTTGTTGGTCTCGTGAGAAATCAGCCACGGTAGGCATGTGCTCACCACGGAAATCTAAGGAGATCTGACCATGCTCTGATGTTCGTCAGCCCATGGAACCAATGTACTGTCTCATTTAGTATCATTGGCAATCAACACAGCTGACAGAGGAGTGGCTGTACCAAGCAGCCCTGGGCTGATTTCTGGGGAGTAATGGAAAGGGTGGGTGGGCGAGTGTATGACTTCTCCCTTCTGGAAGCTTGCAATGTATAAGAGAAGACATTTGTGCAAGAGAAGCAACAGCAGCTGTCACGTGAAAATGGCACTGTGAGTCATGTGGGTGGGCACAACTGCACCTTGGAGGCACACCACAATACTCAAGGAGGGATCAGTGATCAAGTCTGTAAAGCTTAAAAACCGAGTATGAAGGAAGAGAAGTAGGTGGAAGAAAAATATGGGCATGCCTTACGCTCTGCAATAAATCTGTGCTAATCAAATCACACGGAGACACAGTACTCAGAGTTTAGCTCGTCCTCCACCGGCACTAGGGAGGGTGACCTCCCCAGAGAGTCTTTTTCCGAAGCGAGGAATCATTCTGAGTGGTGCAAAGAATCGCCAGGCAACTTCTCTGAGTCGTACGTTTGAATTGTTTTATATCAAATTCTTCTAAATTGAAATAGTCAGATGTGTGGAAATTCCAGGAGAGGGGTGGGAGAGGGGTGGAGAAGAGAGAACGGGATCGCTAAGTGGCGACATGTGCTTGCTGAGTGGCGTGCCTGCCTTGTCTTCTTCCCCCGGCCTGTCAGAAGGTAAGGGCCTGGGAGGCAGGTCGCAGGCGGGGCTGCCTCCTGAGAAACCAAAGTCGTGGCCACTGATCTCAGAAGGGCGTGAGAAGAGCTTACTGTCCCCGGGTCTACCTGCTCTGGGGAATTCACACGAACACGCCAGCTTATGTGCCGAATGACTTCACGTCTTTATTTAATTTTGAAAGATATTTTTAGTTTACTGAAAAGAGGGACCTGACCAGGCAAATGCCATATGTTCCCTGAGGCCTGCTGACTCAGGCCTCGGCCTAGTGACTGCTCCTTATCACTCGATATGTAACCACAGAGCAGGCCTAATAGTACCCATCTGACTCCCCGCAGTTAACGTAACCAGAAACAATAAAGGAAAAAGATACATCATTTTAAAGCCTAATTACATTGTTAACTGCTCGGTCCAGTGCTGCCCTACGTGGGCTGCAAAACACTAGTTCCGAATCAAAAGGTCAAGTTGGGGAACTACAGAGTTCAAGTCAAACACACTGCTTCACTTTCCAGCTTCTTCAAGTCTTTAACATGCTAACACGTGATGAAGCCCCAGGAGGAGGATTTCATATGACATCTGCAAATGAACTTCCCTTTATTCTCACAAGGTCGTGCGGACCGTTAGAATGAACAAAGTTTGGGAAATGTTCGTTTCTTATCTTCTAAATATTTCTTGGATCTCTTTCTTAATACCAAAATTTAGGGGTGTATTGTGTGATTTACTTTGTCATTTCAAATGGCCTGGTCAAAATGCTCACTAGCCTGACAATGTTAAAGAGTGACAGTCGAGGAATATACTTCCAGGTCAAGCGGCAACAAGAGGAACTGCTTCTCGGAATGCAGGACTGTCCGGGCCCCGGGTTCCTGGGTCCAGCTTCCTTCCCGAATGACATCGCCGTCAGGGCTCCCTCACCACGCAGTTTTGTAGTTTGATGATTCTGATTTTACTCGCAATGCAAACTCCAATGTAAAACGAAATCTCTTCTTATTGAAAAGTCATAACTATTTCAAAGAGCTAATTCTTCACTGAGCATTGACGTGGCCAAAAATTCGAACACAGAGAAAAACGCTTGTCAAGAGACCTGATGAAGAGGGTCCCTTTTCCTGCCAGAACGCAGATTTGGCAGGAAGCCACCCTCTCCCCTGGGAACGGAATCACGTTGCCCATTAACCCCGTCGCTTCCTTCCAGCCCGCCTTTTCCTCTGGAAAAAAATCCCAGTGTGCGTGCCTGGTCCCCACAAGGCCCTGAATGGTTTTTGTTCCTCGGTGTTTGTGTCTGTAAATTAGGAAGAACCGGGTTTGAGCTAACAGAATGGCTAATAAAAAACTTTGAACATTCCAACTTCAAAAATCCTTCCCTGAGGGCAGCGAGTGAGCACCAATGGCGATATCATGAAATGAAGCCCAGGAATTGCTCTGGTGCCTAAAATCACTCCCCCCAAAATTAACAGTGCGCACTGGGGTGTCAGGGCCTTGCCCGGTGCCATCTTCGGCCCATCTACTAAGCTCCCTCATTCACTTGCTACAGCAAGGGAAGGGCCAGGGTTTCGCAGATGGGTCCCAGTGTAGCAGCATTCAAGTACGTTTTCACAATGAAAAACAAAAATAAAAGTGATCTGCCCATCACCAGAATTTTTGTGAAATAAAATTATACAAGAGTGAAACCCCCAAAAAATATACTCTGCCCTAAGATCAGACTGGAGACATTAAAATTTTGGTTTCATTTTTGCAGCAAAATATTCAAAAGCTACATAACCCTTTTAAGAGGCTTCGGGATCTTTTTGTTTGTAATGTCTCACTGCCTCTGAGTTGTGGTGTAAAAGACGAGTCGCAGGGAGGCAGGCAGGGAGCCTTGGCAGACCAGTGCTCAATATCCCAGACTCAGAGGCAGGACAAGCAGGCTGAGCCCGCCCTCCGGGTTAGCACGCTAACAGGAAATGGCTCAATCTGGATCTAATCAGAGACCATCGCTTTACTGACAAGATCATGATACTGAGGCCGCAAAAATGTTTCATGACTGTTTCTGGCCAATCTTTCGGCCATTACAGTTCAGCTTTCCCTAAGACAGAATGTCTGACTCCCGAGGGGTAAACATCTGAAACTCTGCCCAGCTGCCCTGGCCACGGAACGTTCGTCAGTATCAGTTCTGGCACGGGAGGGACGAGAGAAAGGGAACGTGAGAGATGAAATGTGCCACATTTCAATTCCGTGTCCAGTCACGGAGACGTACGCTCTTTCATCATCTAAAACATAAACTGTTAACGAGTTGGGTGTTTCCATTTTGAAAAGAAAAAGGTCCTTCAATCGAAAGAACACGCAGTCGTCTGATACTTGAACAGGGGGCGTGCTGAATGAGCAATCTCATTAGCCTGGAACAGTATGAAGTTCTTCTCCAAGTCAGGCTCCATCTTCGCTGTTCCAGCCATAACCTGCTAGGAAAATCCAAAGTCCATACCCAAGGTTTTATGGACTTCAGGAAGGTACCCGTTGCTGTCTCTACATTCATCTCAGAACACAAAGGTACACTTTATACTCCTGTTTCCAATGCCCCTCAACCACCATCTAAGAACAACAAGGAGCCACATACACTATAGGGATAACATGAGGTGACTCACAACTACGCCCCGATCACCTGTCCACAGCACGAGTTTATATGTAAGATAAACATTCTGGCCACGCAAAGGAACAATACCTGTATGGAAGAGCGTTATGCAAAGCCAGTACACCTGAATACAGCGAGATGTGTGCCCACAGAGCAGTCAGGGATGGAGGGCAGAGTCTCTACAGAACCTTATACCATGGGATGTCAAGCTCAATGCCAGCTTCTGTATTGTGCTAACTTCTACTTTGGGTGTGAACTCACTTCTTTGCTAGGTTAGGCCTGCCAGGAGGCCCAGGTAAATCTTAATTTCAGGTAAATAATGAATAATCAAATAATCTGGGGGCATAAGTATGTCCCATGCAGTATTTAGGACCTACTCGTACTGAAAACTTTTTTATTGTTTATCTGAATTTCAAATTCAACTTGGCACCCTGTATTTTTATTTGATAAGGCTGGCGGCCACCCTAGGCGAAATGCATGCAAAGGGCAGAGAGTGGATCTCCCGTTCATTTATTCATCGACTTAGTCGGCCACACGTTAACACTCAACAGCACTTCGTGCCAGGCGCCGTGCAAGGGAGGACAGACGCAAAGGTAAACGGAACGCTAACACCCAAGTTGCTCAGTGTGGTGGAGGGAAAACACAGGGAAACCATGAAAATGCCCAGTGAGTAAAATGGCAGAGGGATAGGCAGATGCCATGGAAGAACCAGGGGGGACCCAGGAGAGAGGCTGCATCAGAAAAGCCTTCCTGAAAAGGCGAGGCTTGCATTGGAGTTTAAATCACGAGTGGGAGTTAACTGGGAGTTAACGACGCTGGGAGGG